GCTGGATGTGTTTGAACAAAGTAAATTGCTTAGAAAAGCGGACTTTCCCGAGCCTGGATTTCCAGTTATTAACACCCCACGCTTGCTAGTGTGATTTAAGATACTTTCCATTTCCTGGTACAGCCATTGACGGCCAATGAATTCTGCTCTCGATGATTTGATGAAATCACTGAAGTCAAAATATTTCAGCTCCCTTGGATAGCTATTCATCTGGATGGAACATCCTAAAACAAACCCAAAAGACATAATCAGTTAACAGAATATTTTCATGCATAATGATCGTCCAGTCTCAAACTCTAAACATTTCAATGTTCGAGCTTGCAGCGTGGATTAAGACTCTACTAACTGATTGCAATGCATTTCAGTCCTATGTTTGTTCTCAGAATTTGGTGCCGGTGCACAAAGACGATTTGGATTTGGACTATATATTGTCCAGTGGAGGATTCCTTTAAAAATGTTACAGGAATATTTCCTAATTGTTGCTGCTACCGGCCATATTGACCAAACGACAAGATATCCAGGAAATAAAAATACTCAGTAATAATGGAAACATAACTCACCATCCCTGTATGATTGGTGATCCAGGATGCCAACGAGACAACAAAGGAACAAAAACATCAGCAACGTGGCGACCGAACTTCGTCTTAAACCTCTAGTACTTTTGATCAGGTAACTTATAACACACAGCACATGATTAATGACAAGACTTGCTACAGACAGTATTGTAGCTTTTTGCTTTTTCTCAACGTTCTCTAGGGCTTCTTGCTTTTTCACAACGTTCTCTAGGGCTTTTTGGTTTTTCACAACGTTCTCCGCTAGGACTTTTTGCTTTTTCACAACATCATCTAGGGATTTTTGCTTTTTTCACAACGTTCTCTAGGGCTTTTCGAAGGTTACGCAGTTGTGCCTCCACACGAGTACGTTGTTTTTTGCTTTTTTTGGATTCCTTTTTCAACGACTTCATCTCATTTTGAATCGCTTCCTTGAAATGAGATAATACTTCTGCTTTGAAAATGTGCACATCCGACGTACACTTCAGGGCTAAAATCTCTCTCAAGGCTCCTTGGGCGTCGACATCCCTAGCCAAGACTGGATCCTGGAGAAGCTTCTCTATTGTTTCAAAGGCATCTTTCTTTTCTGCTTCGGATAACTCTAACTTTGGCAGATGTGCCCATTTTGTGTTTCGAGTATCACGAACATCTTTTATCAGTGGCTGCTGAACGGTAAAATGATTGCACCAGAACATCAGGTTGAGGATAGCAGTGATTTCCATGTCCTCGACGCTCTGTATTACCGTATGACCACCTACATCGGGGAGAAAAAGCTTAGCTATTTCCCAGGGACCAAAATTTGGATCCATCCATTTGGTGGAGTCACTTTGCTTCCAGTTTGGCCTTCTGTTGAGGTGATACGCCTGGAGGTTATTTGCCCACTGACAGGTGCGCATGTCGTGGTACTGGTTTGGTCTCCTTCCCGAAACATAGACACAATACAGGGTCCAGCAGGAATGGCTGTTATTGCCGCCTTCACATTGTTATAAAAGGCCTCTGTTTCTCTTTTTATAAACGGGCGAAGACCTTCACAAAGAACTGTTGATAACGCACGGCCAAGGGAAAGCCAGTTGCCTTCTTCTGGTGAAGTTAGTTGCACGAATGCTTTAGATGTGGTTGTAGACGTCATGGCTGTGTAAAGAACGCACTGAGTCAGTGAATAAGGAGTAGTGAATGGTCGGCACGAAGGAGTACGCTGATTTATCTGATATTCAGATATATTTAACAAATAAAGAAGCCAAAACCATGTATTATTTACCTAATAGAAGATGGTTTTCTATGTTCTATAAGAAAATGATGCACTTGAGGTCTAGAAAAGCAGCTAGTGAATTCATTCATTGCATTCATTTGCTTTTCTAGACCTCTAAGGTGCATCATTTTCTTATAGGAAATATGAAAACCATCTTCTATTTAGTTTAGAAATAGCAGGAACTTGAAAGAAAAACTTCGCCGTACGCTTGAGTGGCGCGGTAGAACACAAAACTTACAAAGTCGCGAAGGTAGCGTGAATTAAAAACTAATCTATAATCCTAGGTTAAAACATGGTTTTTAACCAATCGGAGCGCGCGAAGTTTGCAGTTTATATTTTAAAATTATTTAGTATATACCAAACCAGTGAATAGTGCCTTTCGCGCGTTCTGATTGGCTAGCTCGGAGGTGAATAGTCTTTGCTATTCACCTCCGAGCAAAACAAAATGGCTTTGCGTTTTGCTTATTTGATCAAAGCAGAAATTACTTCCATAAACGAGGCCGCTGCACGTCACTGTGTTATCAAAAATACCTGAAGATATTTAGAGGTGTTTCATTAGCAGCAAATTTAGTCGTGTTACTAAATAAAATCGCCAAAAATGTCGTACAAAATGTTTTGTTTACTATCGAGCAAATGAGCTAGAGTAAGTAAAAAAATTCGAACAGTTAGTCTTTGAAGTGGTTCCAAATTAATTAAACGCTGTCCAGTCCAACTTACTTTAAATTACAATTCCTACCGGCTGAATCCTGAATACAGTAGTGTCTTTCAAAAAACAAGAAGTCCCTGTAATTATTTCAATGATCCTGCCAACGATTTAGTTTTGTATTCGGATCGACTAATCTCGGTCTCACTACGCTAGAAAAGATTCTGCTTGCCGTATCATGATTTGTCCAAAGTGCTCCACTTCGGTGAATAATTGCTAAATATTGTTTTATAAGATTGAAGATTAAGAGGGAATTACATGTTCGTTTGCCTTGCTATTTATAATGCACCATTGAGGTGGGAATGTTCCAGGCTCTATATATTTGAAAGCAGAACTTTTTTTCCCGAAGCCCGAGCACATTACTTGTTATAGGGCGTTGGTACAAAGGATACATTTTTTTCGGATGTAATTCTAAAGTATTAAATTTTCAAATATTCCAGGATTTCGTGACAAAATTGCAATTTTGTTGTCAATTACCCGGGCCAAAACCATACTTTGACTAAAAAGATATAAATATCTCCCCAAATCCTATTTACTCTTATTATCTTTATAATTTTCTAAAAATCTCTATATTGTCTAAGCCGAGCCGGAATTTTCGTAGCTAACCTATATTAGACGCGCCCTTCAATGCTTTTGACCCGCTGACAAATTTGCTTTGAAGTATGTAATCAACACTGCATGGAAAAACCCAATTAATGACCTTTGCTATATTTAAACTGAATTTGCGTGACAACGTCAATGCATGTCTGTTCAAGTTGCAGAATTTCAGCCCTGACCAAAAGAACATGGCGGTTGCTCTTAGAAGCGTTAATACTGATTGTACCATGAAAACATTCATAAGTTAAACTGTATGGTTGACTAGTACCAATTAAGAGGTGCTCGATATATTGAAGTACACCCAATTTGGCTCGTTATGAATTCGCCACAAATACAATGTATATACATGTACAATAGAACAAATGGTGGCGCGGAGGAAGGAACAGAACTTTCGTTCCACTTGACATGTATGTAGCCGGATACAATTATCTGAAATTCGGCATATTTGGGACTACTATAGGAGTATTTATTACTTCTAGTGTTATTTATCGGCATGTATTAAGTACGAAACTACCTCGATCAGTCACAAATCGGTTGGATATACAGGGCCATTACGGCTATTACGTGGCATGTCTTGCAGTTGGACCACTGCACTACGAAGGGAAATCTCAACTAATGCAAAGCAGTTAACAGTAAAGCGTACCTTTAATTTGAAGATCCAAGTTTGTGTTAGCTAAGAACTCTGCTGTATTCACTGCACCATGTTTCGAGGTATATCGAGAGATATAAAATGCAACCCCAGTCTTGCAAAACAAGGAAGTGATATGCAAATTAGTTTGACGAAAGGGCATGGGAGCGAGTGTTGATTCTGCGAGGTGTAATTCCATGGAGCCAGCGGTGTTTCTCCAGGGAGGGAGGGGTTCTTCACTCCACACTGTATCATGTATGTACGGCCCAACGATCAGCTCATTCTTCGCTAAAAACTTCCATGCTCAACTCTTTACTATCACAACAAGCACTAATACTAGTGTTGTTCATGTTTGCTGTTCAGTTCAAATCAGTTATTTGCTTGGCTGTTACTGCTTTCTGTAGCTCGGAAATTGAAAAGTCCCTCTTGTCGGCAGCTGCCTATTGTTGTTTTTCTGGGGTAGATTGACATTGTATGTCGTTCCTTAACTGTCATTTCCTCCAGAAGCTCAGCAAATTTCCCAAACCTTGAGTTTATTTATTTAGCTATGCGAAGCTTGACGAGTAAGTCCAAGCATGGGGCAATTTCTTTCAATCATAATTCGACGGGTGGACATCATGGCTCAAAAGCCAATTCAACTGTTTACGTCAGTGCACCATTAAATGATGTATGTTTCCTTGAAAAGTTTGAAAAGTTGTCGTCATCTAAAAGTGACCCTAAAACACGATTCAGCAACTGTCTCTTCCGTAGTGTTTTAGCCAGTTTAGAAAAATTATTGCAGGGCTTGTGAACGTATAATTAAAAAAATGTTATTTCCATTTCTAAATTCCTAAACGGTGTTAATCGTTGCCTATCCGGGTGTGCATCGATTACTTTGGCGATGTTAATAATGTTTTGACTAAATGTAAAACTTATCAACGTACGTGCAAATTGTCATATACAAGTTTTCGAAAAACAACTTTTGTTTTTATTGGGTCCAAAAAAATCAAGAATGCAAATTCTACACTGAACTGGACGCAAATAGATGGCCGGGAACAATATCAGCAGACTCGCTTTTCTTATCTCCTTTTATATAGCTTGATCTCAATTTGGCGATGATGGATAGTATGAAATAATTCAGATCAATATGTGACCTGCTGTGGAAAGAACAAAAGACAACGAGATCTTCGCAGTTCTTTCGTTCTTTCCACTGAGTGCAGTTCACATATATAATTATTTCATATATATATTCATCATCCCCATTTCATCACAATGGACCAGCTCCCTGCAGTCGCTTCGTAGCTCAGTGACGTGATAGAGCGTTTGAACCGGAATCGCAAAGTCATGGGTTCGAACCCCGTTGGAACCTGAATTTTTTTCAGGCCTTCTTTTCAACTACTCAAGTTGAAATATAACTGCGAATATCTCATTCTCTTTCGAAATATAGTTTATTGAACAACTTCGCTGAACACGTAGTGAATATTGCAGCTATGTTGGTGTATGATCAATGACTTAGATATTCGCTTGACAATTTTAAAGAGCGCTAGGCTGGCCGAATAGGGACGCTTATAGCATCTAAAAAGTGCTTTTAACCCTTTCGCTCCAAGAGTTAAACCTTGAGTCAATGAATGTGGTTCTAACTTTTAAAGTGCCAAAAACCTTTTTTTTTAATTTAAATTTCTCATCTGAATCTAAACATCACCCAAGGAACTTCTGTGAAAAAATTTTGCGATTTGCAGAAAACGCGAATTAAAATTGCTTTCGGAGTACTCTTGCCGGCGGTGCTCGCGCTCGTTTGTGATTGGATAAATCTTTTGTTCTTTCCTTTGTTCACATGTGAACCTCGACTTTGTCCGTCTTCATGTATATATGTGAACAAAGAAAAGAACTTGGTCAACATTTCTACATCTGGACCCCACCCTTGGTCAATAACAACTAACGTGAAATACTTGACGTTTTGGTCACAGGCATTGCCATTAAAAAAATACTGCATGAGACTTTTGATTGAGAAAATAACTATTGGTTCTAAAAATTCAAGAATATAAACGCTCATATCGTGACTGGCTAAAGCAAATTCTACATCTAGACATGAATAACAAGCCGAATAAATTATAACTGAGGAAGAATAGAAACCGGTTGAAATGCCGTCTGCACGTTCAACGGCGTATCTCGTTGTCCGTTTATTTAGCCTTTTCTAAGGAATACAGTTTCAAAACTTATGAACTGTGGTGAAGTTTCTTGTTTATTTTTTTATTCTCTTTGCGGTCGGTTACTATCCCCAAGGAAGCATTGCAAGTAATCTTTACGCGAAAGATTTGAATCTCTCTGGTCATAAGGTGCGGGATCCCATTCCTCAGCTTTCAAAGTTTAAAATTCCTTCGTTACGATTGTTTCACACCAGACCTTCAAACGAATTGATAGGGGAATGGTATGCCCAGCACAGTGGATGCGATGAAATGCAATCTCGCTGTTTTCTGTTTGGAAAAACCGGGAAGAGGGAGAAGACCATATGATGCCTTTGTATGTTGAAGAGTGGAGTTTAAAACAAACAACGAAAAACATTACATTTACTAATATACATTGCAATTTATTGATTCATTTCAGTAATTCCGGCTACCTATTTACACAAAAGAATAACTGGGTGCAAGCGTTGTTTGTTTATTTTAGCAGGTACCGTATTTACTCGAATAAACGCTCTCTCCTTCCGACGCCTCCCTCCAATTTCTTACTTACCATTTCTTACGTACCTTAGTCGGCTTTTTGTCTTAGTTTGCTTTTGGAATTAACGCCCCCTTGAACAGCACGGGCGATTATTTAAAAAAATGTACACTTTTACGTAGTATGTGAAACATCCGATTTCCAAGCACCGAGAAGAGAGTTGAAAATACGACGCGTGGCGGAATATTTTTGACGAAATTCGAGGTGTTTGAAAATCGGATGAAACACTGTCTCGATTGTTTGATATATCTTCTCAATCGAAACAAAAACTAGTCCTACGGAGAAATAAAATCGTAAAACTCTATGCTAATAAAGACCAGGTATCCAAACCACCGTCACGGTTATGATCAGTCCTTTGTTAGTAACTTTATAAATTATTAAAGAGTTTGAGAACAACTAGCTTGCTAAGTGAGCACTTTTACCATATACAGCTATTTCAATTAACGTTTTCGGATAGAAGCGTTAGGTCTACAAGACAAGACCGAATGGTAGTCTGGGTATTCATTGGAATTTGCACATAGGTGGAAAAGAAATCTACAAATTTTTATTTCGCACGTGATGTATTTGCTTTGCCCCGAATTAGATAATTTGTTTTACCATGTGTTTTTTTTTTCACTAGCTAAAAGTAGCTATCTTTTACAGGTTTAAAACAAAAAGGAAACGTTAGAAATCATGTTATTATATCTCATTAGTATTCAGTGCGTGCAGCAGTTTTCTACTTTTAGCCATGCTACCTTTCGGTCTTGTTTTGCAGGCTATCCGACAACGTTAATTGAAACAGCTGTATGTTCGTTAAGGAATAGGTTTCATCATCCTGAACGCTAGAGGCCTTATGCGTCACATGGCGCGACAAAGACTGATTAAAATATAAAATATAGTAATAGTCTTTACTCGAAAAACGTTTTGTCTTTGTTTTCCCACAAAGGTGGCTTTTTAAATGTTAAAATATCGAGATACCTAAATGTGTCAGACGGCTGCTCTGACGCCCACCTCAACATAAGTTTTAGCACATCTTTTGGTCGGTGAAGGAAAAATGTTTTCATTCTACCTGAAATAAAGTCTGATGTTCCTGGCTGTATGGACTTTTTAGGGAAGATCCAAATCTGTTGCAGGTTGCGTAAGTAGAATTCAAGTTGTACGTATTTTATTGCAACTGCTTGCCAGTCACAGTTTAAAGCCATGTCAAAATTGTGGAACGCAGTGGTCATATTCGCCAAAAAGCGAGGAAGTGTCCTTCTGATAACAGATTTTACTTCATCTGAGTCTTCCAACACAGAATCCAAAACTCGCTTGTAGATGCTATACGTGTAGCCAAGTCCCATGTTTTCTTTACCGAAAATGCACTTGTTAACTCCACTGAACAGAGGATCCTCTCTGGCTTTCAGCTGGATCGTGGACATTATAAATTCGCTGCTGTTGAGAATATTTTCAGTGGATAGTTCTGAATGACTTTTAATTGTATTTAACAGAAGTCCTCTAACTTGTTCGAGTTCATTATCGAGAAAATTTGAAAAGCACCTTTGAATTAAAAATAAGACGTTTTTTAGATCCGACTGGCCATCAAGGAGCAGCAGCACATAGGTAAGATGAGGAAAACCAATATTTTCAGTTGGACAATCTTGTTTAAACGCGACACATTCCTCACTCTTTACTTGGTAATCATTGTGGACTCTGTCAATATCATCATATGCTCTACGAAGGTCGAAAGCTGTCGCATTTCCATATTTTTGGCAATCATTGCCCTGTTGAAGTGTTATTATTTCTTGCTCAGTCAGGTGAAGATCAAACGTACTAGCAAACCTTTTGTGAAAGGTATTGATGAGGAAGTATTCCGCTTCGAAGGTGGGATATTGGAGAATTCCTCCATGACTCTTGATTACGTCAGCGACCTTGCACCATGGACTGTCCCACTCACAAGAGTCGCCACCAAAAACCTTTGCCAAGTACATTGGAGTAATTCCATCTCTGTTTGGACAGTTTACATCGATGCCTACGACTTTCTTCTCTGAAAGTAAACGATCGACAAATTTCCACATTCCTCGACTGGCAGCAATGTGGTATAAAGTCAGTTTTGGGTGTTGTCCGTCACAGCCTATATTCAATGAGGTGTATCGAAGAACGTGACTCAAAAGAGTAGATGCTGACAACGAAGCAAGTTCTACTTCTAGGGCTGTCAATACACTGGGTATATCAAGATTCAAGAATGCTCTGTATTTGACAGCATATAACACTGAAAGCCATAACGATGATAACCCCTTTGAAGTGTTAATGAATGGGTTAGCTTCTAAGGAAATAAATTTTTTAATGGCAATCAAATTGGCCCCCTGAGCGGCTCTGTGTAAGGCGTTATAGCCTTCTGCATCGAAACATTCATCAATAACTTTAATTCCCTTTGGATGAGACAGAATCGCTAGGGACAATGGTCCATCTCCAGTTCTAATCATCTCAACGCTCCCCTTGTGGTTTTCTTCGTCATATTTGTCCACGAAGTAGTCAAATATTGCATTCTCTGTTTGCAAATATTTTTGCCAGTTGTCACTCCCAAGTAAAAACTCGTTAAGGTAATGGACGTAATGCAGCTTGTGATACGAGGCTAAGTGGAAGACTGAATTCTCAAAGGTATCTCCACACGTGATTTCCACTTCTACGTTATGTTTTACTAGGACTTTGGACATGTGTCGACCACCGGTGCGTAAGTAAACCAGAAGAGGAGTCAATCCTGACACATCCCGACAGTTCACATCCAGACCCACTTGTAATGCCGTGTTGATTGAACGAACGAGATTATAAGTCACGCAATGTAACAAAAAGGAGCAGTTCGTTGACTCTGGAAACATGGTGAACAACGTTTTCACTAGAAATCTCATTATAGATCTTGGAATGATAATTGACTCGTGTTGCTTAATCTCGCTTTTTAACATTTCATTGATAGTAAAATCGTACGCAAAACCAAAAGGAGTTAATAATAGTACGAATCGGCCACCACCGAATCCATTGCGTCCTAATAAAACGGACGAAACATTTGTTTTCTGCGCTAATGTATGCCATACTGTTTCATTTTTCTTATCAATCATCGAGATAAACATAGTATCTTGGCTTATTCTTGTAGTGGCAGAACATATGACAAGCTCAATCAATGCATGTAGCCATGGATACTCTTCATTCTTTTTACTCAGTTGGGAGAGACCTTTGTCATCAGTTTCTATCCAATCCTTTGGTTGTCTGGCATATAAATCAACAAGGCATTCCGAACCAACGACATCTATGTCTTTGACAACGTAGTGTAATGCTGTCATTCCTTCGTTGTCTGTAGTGTAGTGATCACAGCCCAACTCAAACAACGGGTGGAAAATGGTCTTGGCGAAACATGCCGCTGCACTGTGAAGGGGAGTCGACCCATTCAGACTTGCCGCATTGATGTTTGCCCCACGTTTGACCAGGAGGGTCACAAGCGATAGAATACCATGACAGGAGGCGATGTGGAGAGGAGATGAACCGGTACAGTCACCTGCATTGACATTTGCTCTATACTTGATAAGTAGCTTAGCAGCACTGTGATAGCCATACATGGCAGCGATATGCAGAGGAGAAAACCCACAAGGACAATGATTTTTAGCTACTTTATCCGGTACGAAGGGCTCAAACTGCATT